TCTAAGGAAAGAAATAAAAACCTCTTTCGGGCTCATCACATGATTCAAGGATTTCCAGTTTTTACAAGCTCAAATCTATCAGAAACATCAGTCATGTCTGTCTCAACAGCTGTGTGCAGACATATTAATACATTTTAAAAAGCCCTCTGGTGTTTCAATCAACTGTCTGATCCATGCATCATAATTTCGCCCTAATACAAATCTGAATGCTGGAAATAAATCCATATTTGGAAACGTTCATTTCAGAGAAACAATGAAATCTGTGGGAGATGAATATATCGGATGGTTATAGAGATTTACGCAGCCTGAGGACGAGTCCTGTACGAGGATATTCAGCCGTCCCGCACTCTAAAATTACTTTGATGGGATTTTGGGGATTGTGTGTATTTATTTACCTATGCAGGCTATATATACTGTCCCTGAATTTACTGTCAAACTGACTTGTTTTGCAGAGGAATTAAGCTTATTGTTTTACCTTATGATCATGTGGCAAAAACTTTCAATGTTTGTCCAACATCCCATAGCTTTGTTTGGAGAATGCATAAATACAGCAACCCCAAAAGTAGCCTACCTGAAAAAAAAAAGTATAAAAATGAATGACTTTCATTGCATTAAATGACATCAAAGCTGCATTTAGTTTAAAGGTGTAACTTTTGGCCCTCTAGCGGTTAAAAAACCAAACTGCATGCATTTTGCGGAACAACATTGTTTAGGTTGTCCTTCTGCGTGACTGTGCAGATGAATATGACCCTTTAACAATGCTTTACAATGAACTCTGTTGGAATGTCAACCTTACTCGCTCGTTGTGACAACTAACTTATGCCACTCCCACACCAAACACGCGTCAAAGTAGCCGTGTCATGACAAATCCAGTCGTCCCTCGAAATCGGTCTCAGTTAATGATTATGCTAGGTAGCCTACGAACAATATTAATTTAAAATATGTATAGGTTACTATAGTGGATAATAAAACAAATCGAACGTTTCTTTTACTTGATGAATGTTAATTAATTATATTATTAAGATAATAATAGCCTATGGCAAGTGCAAATGCGTGTATAAACTAAGCTATCAGGCTAATCGGGTATCTGTATGCTATGCTAGTACACAAGCTAACTAATACTGACGTCAATGGTCATCATAGGCTATGATCAACATAGGCTACAGCATTTATCATAACATGACTTTGTAGGAATTGTAAAGAGACTGCATTTTTTTAGTAATATAATGGGGTCCTCCTCACAGAGACCCGATTTTGAGGAGGACCACATTGAGCAACTTTTCTCTATTTACAGATATGACGATACACGCACGGGTGAATGACATATGTATGATATGATATGTATACAAAATTTCCCGCGAAAACCGTCCTGTCAGGTCTAAAATATAAACACTTATAATAGGCTGGAATCAGGGTAAGTTAAGACAAAAACACGTTTTTGGAAGAAGTATTGATGATGTATTGACTATTTAAATTTAGTTAATTTTGAATAAAAAAAAGTTACATAGCGTAGGCCTACCTTTAAAGAAAGATGCACAGCACAATAGTGTTGAAATTGACAATAATCATTGCAACATGATGTGTGTGAACTTGAAAAGAAGTGACATATCAGGCAGTTTTAAGTGTCCTGAACCTGTGAGAGCACGCGCTTAACTCAAACCAGGGCTTTTAAAGTCCCTCCTCATTAACTGAGCTAATGTTACTGCATCATATCAAAGCATTGAATGTGACTTATAATCGATGCTTTAGTCTCAGTGTGAGAGGAAACAGATGTTCAACAACACCAGCGAGTTCACGGGCTATTACTTTACATTTAATAGGCTTTATTTAATATTTAATGGGGTGACAGAGGATGGGAATTATAACGGGCCAAATGTCATTTGCGGTGTCAATTTGGCTTCAGGGCTGATGTGAGGATGGAGTTTTTCCAGTGTGGCCTTTAAACTCGTGAGATCTTCATATTGCCTCAGTCTGTCTGCGGTGCTTCAGCACAGATCATAATAAAAACATAGTAGGTGTTTTTAAATGCTCTATTACTTACCGGCGTCAATTCATATTCCTGCACCACTGCTTCTCCCAAAGTCTCTTATTTATTATTGAAAAGCACATACGACCCTTATATCACTTAATTCTACTTTGCTGCTTTATATCTCTGTTTCTCTGTGTTCTTCAGATGCGCGCGCGTGACAGGTCTCGCTCTGTGCTGAAGTTGGGAAATTGATAACGCGCCGGAGACGCGCAATAAAAACGACGCCCGAGGGCGCGACACCCGGATCCCCTATTATGCAAATACGGGGTAATTTTAAAGACAAATCGTTGGCTTTTATTCCCCTATATTTCTGTTTTATACGTCTCGGTTTCTCCGGAGAATAAAGCATTTAATGTGTCGAGCCCAATGATGGATCTGACCTTCAATCATTCCAGCGAAAGGAGGGGCTTTATTTGAAGAGAAGAAAACAAAACGCAACAATATTACTATAAACTTTTATGCACACAAATGATGAAAAATATCGGCATTGAAAATATGAAAGTTGAGGGCACGATAATAGCGGAGCAAATGTACAGTTATAGGCTACAAAAATACATAAAATTAACCCAATATTGGTTTACAATATTTTAGAAAAACATTTGTCCTCTGAAAATTGTTTACAAGTTTTTCAGAAATTGATGAATCTAACATGAATAAAAATATAAGAACTTGGCACGTGTTCTAAACTATATTTAAGATTTCACATTTTATCAACCCATACATTCTTATTTGCCTTTGACTGATATAGGCTAATGTTACTTTTGTATTTGGACATAATTTCACATTTTTGGCAATTAAAAATAATTTCATAATTAGATACGCACAGATTAAGAACAGTTTAACAGTAAAACAACAAGTAAATATAATCTATTATAATAATAATAATAATAATAACGACATTTATGAGAGGGAGTTAATTACATTGTTGGAGCAATTAGAAAAACAGTATCCTTCTTCAATCAAGAGAGAGAGAGAGAGAGAGAGAGAGAGAGAGAGAGAGAGAGAGAGAGAGAGAGAGAGAGAGAGAGAGAGAGAGAGAGAGAGGTCCATTATGGTCCGAATTACAGTCACCAAAAACAATTATATGTGAGTGCATGGCCACAGATACACAGCGAATAATTGCTCGATAAATGTTTGACAAAAAGGAAACTGAAGGAGAAGCAAATGTCACATAATTATATGTTATTATCACGCGTCTAACAGTAAACAGGCCAAATTTGTCGCCGCGTGCACATATGGCACGGAAACGCGCCAGAAGCACGTTAAGGGGAGTCAAGCGTTTCTGCCAGAAATGTCTGAATACATTCATGAGGTGGTTTTTAAAAAATCATTCATGTGTCAACGATAAACTAACAGCCGTCAAAAGCTCAGTGGCGGTGTCACATTTTTAGACACCGTGTCCATTTCACTGAAAACTGGTCTGGAAGAGCAAATTACGCGCATAAATGTTTTGCTGCTGGTGCACCTCAGGTCACAAATTCCATTCTTGTTGATTTTGGGGGGTTATTAATGATAAGGCTGATTTTACAGAGCAAATAAACTAGATGCTAAACTTTAAAACTATTAAACATTATTTCCACATTATTTCCACATACCTAAAGCGACTGAAGTGAATTAGGGCCTATAGCAGGTGTCAAATGCAACAGAACACATAACCTTTATGAACCCAATACAAGCATAAACGGATGTCAATTTAAAAGAGATGTAGGAGTGCACAATTTATGACATCTAAATTGGATTGCGTTTTTTTACATATATAAATCTCCTCCGAAATACAAATATATCCATGCATTCATCAATGCATTAAAATAATTACAAAGCAAATAACATTCACCTTGAATTTAGAGGGGGGAAAAATCACCAATAAAACAGAAAGTAGGCCTAAGTCTAGTAATTTGTTCTCGATGGTTAAAGAGCCAGTGCAGAGGGTTCCGGGGCCGATTATGTCCATTTCACCTGCTTCTAAACTGCATTACTGACTTAATCTTCACGGCTCTTTCATTGCGCGTGTCCTGCCCACAGCCTGCCCACGGCAAACACTCCATTTCCCGGCGCGAGGACACGAATTTGCCCATCAATTTAAAAGGCTTTGCGCGCTCACGCACACACAAACAGCAGAGCTCAGCCAGTGCGCGCGGCGGTCCGGCACAGAACTTCTCATATTTGATGATGGATATTGTTTGGGTGACATTTAGGTAATAAAATCGAATTGGTCTGTTGCGAAATGTTGCGGGATAGTTTTACTGAATGAAATTACGCGCAACTGAGAGCATTTGGCTGCACGTGCAGGGTTCGAACATTAATCAACGCATGGCACAAATCAATGCTACATCTGAGCAGCGGGACTGTGTTTAGCGATGACGAACTCCGAGCTCGTGTTTAACACAGACATTCTCCGATTTCCGCCGAGCGATCGATCGATAACGCAATGAATCCTTCACGTTTATCTCAGTGAATCCCTTCTGGAGAAAAACACCCACTTTTAACTGACAGGACAAGAAAGGAGATTGCAAGATTTTGCAATCATTTGCAATGTTTTCATTAACAGAATATAAGATTGGTTGTTTTGAGAATCCTCAAATATATGCTTAGATTTTTTTTAAACTGCTAAATTAAACCTGAACTTAACATTAACCTAAAGCTATTCTTTGCACACGCTGTTATTTCCTTCTGAAAATACAAATCTATAGTTGATTCATTTTGATTGCATCACTGCAAAGTAAATTCAAAGTTTGTGCGTAAAAATGTCCTAATGCAATTCCACATAATGAGAGACCTCTGTAAATAAATTAGCAGCAACATCTTTCAGCCTCAATAAATGCGCATTTCAGAAATTGGTGTGATGACATGATTGAATAGCATAATGAGGCTCTAGTTCACGTTCCTAAATGTCAACCAATAGACAGAGATAATGACGGCTCGGTCCAGTCGACCAATGAAAACTTGAGCTGAAGAGTTTCGCACGCGCGGCGGAGCGGAAACTCGACAGTTTGACGCGCGGCGCATCGGTGGCGAGACCTGTCAGAGTTCAAACGAGGAATTAGAGAAACGAGGAACGTCATCTGAGACCATGGACAAGACTAAAACTAAGTTACAATTATTTTCGCCGCACCTAACGTGATTTCGTTCGTTTTAATCCGCCATAATCTGCTGCGCAACTGGGAATTATGGAGCGCGCGGAGCTCAACGAGCCAAAGCCGCCATCCAAAGCTAACCAGGAACCCATCCGATTCGGGATCGACCAGATTCTGGGCTCTCTGGACCCGGAGAGCAGCCGTGGAAACACTGTGGATAACAGCCGCTTGAGAAGCCCAACCAGGGCGAGCGTTGCGCCTCATGTCTCCATACCCGTCTCTCTCTCCGGAGTCCCGGGCTCGCTGGAGGACTGCGGGCGGGTGTACGGGGTGAGCGGCTCTCTGGTGCCCGGTGGAGTGATTCGGGTCCCGGCGCACAGACCTCTGGCTGCCGCGGTGCCGCAGGCGATGTTGAGCGCGGCACCGGCGCTGTGTTTCCCCTGGATGGACAATAACCGCAGGTTCCCTAAAGACAGACTGCCAGGTAAAAGATACACATCTCTGAGTCTGATGATGCTGGGATTGATCCACACGCTTCACTGATCTCTCTGCTGGACCTGCGCAGTTGTTTCAGGAAAACAATTCAGGAAAAAAGCTTTCCCCTCCAAAATTACAACAAGCTTTTCACTATAAATCACCCTGAAAATATATGACATTGATTGCAATAATAACCACACTGTTTTATTTCAACGGGTATAGCCTACAATAAATCAAATGTCAATTATAACGATAATTTAAATAAATAAGCATATAAAATGCAGAATAATTTATTTTCTTAAACGCACACATGCAAAAAAATAAAGAGCAATAAAAAATATTCAAAACCAAAAATTGGTTTGATTGGTTGCTGTAATATGTTTATTGTTAATCCAGAATATTAATTGATTTGGCCCAAAAGTATATTTAGGCTGTGTCAAAAATTCTTCAATTAAGTTAATATACGAAAGCAGTTTTAGTTAAGATAGTTAAGGTTAAATACACACTTAAAAAAAATAAGCTGAATTAAGTTTGATAAGTTATGCATAACGGGGATAAATGCTATTTGAAGTAAAACGTTATTTCTGTGCCCGAATAATATAAATAATAATAATACAGGAGCAATAGTGCACTTTTGAGATGCACGATGTTTTGAGCAAATTAATCAACATTAATACGCACTTCAGAAATAGCTGCACTATTTTCTCTTCATAAACTACTGATTTTATCATTTTTAATAACCCTGAAAATTATAAACAGGTGTTTTGTTTCAAACATACGTATAAGTTTCAGGGATTCCACGTTTAAATTATTTTTTGACAAAATTATTTTAGTCATTGCACGTGATGACCTCCGTGATCGGGACCATATTGTGGTGCTCGTGCATGTGTAACCGCTGTTTTGGGAAGGAAAAATGATAGGCTAATCAAAGGTGCACACAAATCATCTTTCTCAATATTGTTTCGTTAACTATAGGTTTAGTAGCCTATGTATAACGAACAAATAGTCAGAGTCAACCAGATAATTTCAGAGAGCATGGGTTAATAATCACCTATAATAATTGCATTATCAGAGTTTGTTTTTAGTAGAATCTAAATGAAAATAACATGATAAATGACACTTTTCCCGCAGCTCTCATTCCGTTCACCGTGACCCGGCGGATCGGTCACCCGTATCAGAACCGAACTCCCCCGAAACGGAAAAAGCCCCGCACGTCGTTCTCTCGCGTGCAGATCTGCGAGCTGGAGAAGCGCTTCCACAGGCAGAAGTATCTCGCGTCCGCGGAGCGCGCGTGCCTCGCCAAGAGCCTGAAGATGACGGACGCGCAGGTCAAGACCTGGTTCCAGAACCGCAGGACCAAGTGGAGGTGAGACTGGAGGAGTGCAGAGCAACACACAGCACGCTTTAGCAGCTCGTCGCTAATAACATCGTGTTTTAGTTGTTGAATCCTTGCTGGGAAATGTAGAAGTCCACCATGTACGAACATTTAGAATTAAGACGTTACACCTTTTTCATGTAATTTAGTTTAAATTTCAATTATTTTTTATTAGTATTCGATTAGGATTAAATCATTAAGAATAATTCTTTGAAATATTAAAAGGACATTCACCGGAGAATCTTTTTTGTTGTTGTTGTTGTGCTCCTCGGTCACTTTTGTGGCACGTGCCATGTGAACATAACAAAACAAATCATGGACATGTTTCGAAAGTTAAATAGAAATGCCGTTAGCACTTTATGGTAACACTTTATTTGACAGTGTCCTTGTTACATACTTACTACTTACCATAGTAATAACAGTAAAATATGCATAACTACAACTAACCCTACCACATAAGTACATGTGTTAATTAATACTCAGTACCTCAATATATAATTACACTGTAACAATGACACCTTAAAATAAAGTGTAACCCCTTATATTAACCAGTACTTTCTCAGGTAAGTACACTGTAAGTGCATATACTGTAAATTAGAGTGCAGCCGAAATGCCATATAGAAATAAACGGGAAATGAAAACTTCAAATCAGCCAGGATGCAGAGGAGAAAAAAGCGCACAGCAATGAAGGAGTTAATAATTAAAAATGACCATAAATATTGCATAAATATTACTTAGTACCATAAAAGTCCCTCAAAATATGTAAAAAAAAACTTTTTTTTAAGGTGTAATTGTTAGTGTAGTACATTTAAGTACTGAGCAATAATAATTAACTACATGTACTTACTATAGGGTTAGGGTTTGGTTTAGGGTTAGTTGCATGTGTTACCAAAAATATTATTGAGCAAAATTATATAACATTGATTTTACTGGGGGGGGAAATGTTTTACATTTGAGATGTTCTGACACTTTGACCCTAAAACGGCTAATTGTTACATCACATTAAAAAATTCGTATAGAATTGTATCAATTGTCTGAATGATTTGGATTTATATACATTTTGCATCTTCAAAATCTCTAGAAGGCAAACAGCTGAGGAAAGAGAGGCGGGACGTCAGCAAGCCAATCGGATGCTGCTTCAGCTTCAGGCCGACGCCCTCCAGAAGTCCATGAGCGAATCAGTGTCGTCGGATCCTCTGTGTGTTCATAACTCCTCCCTCTACGCCCTCCAGAACCTGCAGCCTTGGGCCCAGGAGAGAGCTGGGAAAACCACAACACTGGCTTAAATCCCTCCGGATCCCTCACTGTCCTGCACACTGAGAAGGGAAAGAGGAGGAAACACTGTATCTGAAAATTCATAAGGCTTTTTGACCGGCTATTTTATAAGTGAGGAGCATTTGTGAATCTCAAAGCTCATTTTGTGGGAAAGTGAACTATCCCTGTGATTGTTATGGACACTGAGCAAACGCGTTCCCAGAAGATGCTGCCTTGGGAGGGGAAAAAAAGGTGAAACATTCCCAGAAACTAACTGGCAATCGACCTGAATCACAGCTCTGTAAATATATGAACTGTTCAAATGATGATGTCTGTGAGAAAGTCTAAAAAATATTGTACTGTATTGTAATTATTCTGTGCTATTATGGTGACGATGCATTACCGCATAATGTTTGTCGTTGTTGATGACGTGTTTGGACCCGGAAAAGCAATGGTGTGTAAATATAACACTGAACAATCAGCATTATGCATCGAAAATTTTATTGTTAAACAGTTTATACATCATTTCAACAAGAGGATATTTAAGCTTCCCGTCTCCTCAATCTGTCTGTCTGATTGAGCGTCTGTCTGTCTCTCTGTCACCCGTCTCATGGGGAATAACCGGCTCTGTCCGGCACATGGAGCGCGTTCAGCTTTATATACACACTGCCGCTTCTAATCCGGGTGTACAAGCCCACTTTGCAGAGTGTAAAATATACAATGAGTGTAATAAATCTGTATATTTTAAACTCATCACGCTGTACCGGCACAGTGATTGTTCAAAAACACACCATAATACGATCAAATGATCAGAAATGATAATAAAAAAGCATTACTAAGGTTATCAGAGAGTCTGCCAGGAATGTTTGTGACCGTGAAAAACACAGGTTTAACTTTCAACACTTTGGTTTCAGTTTCCTGGCACTAACGGATTTGTTCACATTTTTAAGAGCTACTTTAATGAAATCTCAATTATATCTCATATTTTCTCTTTATATATATAAATTCTTATGCATTTAAATTTATATATAAATATTATATATATATACAGTATTTATTTAAAATAGAAATCTTGTGTAACAATAATACACTACTGTTCCAGTCGTTTCTTTTTCTTTCTTTTTTTGAAAGAAATTCATTCTTTTATTCGTCAAGGATGTGTTAAATTGATTCAAAGTGATAGTAAAGATTTAAATTGTTAGAAAAGATTTCTTTTTTGAATAAATGTGGCTCTTTTTGACTGTTTATTTATCAATGAATCCAGAAAATGGTATCACAGGTTAAAAAAAATAATAATATTAAGCAGTTTCCAACATTGATAATAAATCCTCATATTATTCATGATTTCTGAAGGATCATGTGACACTGAAGACTGGAGTAATGATGCTGATAATTCAGCTTTGATCACAGAGATAAATTATATTTTAAAGTTGTAAAGTTATAAATTAAAATTCTAATAATATTAAACAATATTACTGTTTTTTTTCCCCGAGACTTCTTTTAAAATCATTAAAAATAGTAATGTTTCCAAACTATGACCGGTACTGTGTATATAATGCCGGCTTTAAATCGGGTCCCGCCAAGTCAAGTCCCCTTCATTTATACAGCGCTTTTAACAATATAGATTGTTTCAAAGCGGCTGTACAGTGATGATAGTGAATTACAGTAACAGAGATTGGTTGGCTTTACAGCAGCTCTAGAATAAAGTTATTGTCCAGCTAAAGTTAGTTTTGTCGTCCCTACATGTTTTTAATATTCAGTTTTGCTCAGATATACATCAGCTAGATTACAAAGTAAAATGTATTTTGAATGCTGTTCATGAGTTTAAACATCATGTCTGTCAGGACTAATCAATCACAGTTATATTAATTAATTTATTTCATTATTATGCTTTTTTTCTTGCTCTCTCTTCACAGTAAGGTGGCATCATGGCTGTATAAAACAGTACTAAGTTTTGGCAATTCACAGCTTTCACTCAGTAAATAAAAAAAAAGAGTTTTTTATATAAATAGAAGTTAAACACACCAACAAATATAGTGACTGCTAAAGTTTGCTATGGCACCTGTCAATCAAAATCTTCATTGCCAACTGCACAAAGCCAATTAGTCATATTTCACCCCAAAAGAAAAAGAAAAATAAGAAATTTGCATATTTAAATAAATGAGGATACTGGGGTGAAATGTGACCTGGGCATGATGTCGTGATTCTGACGGACAAACAGACCAATCAGAAAGCAGATCTTCCAGTAGGCGGAGCTAAGCCAACAGAGACGGGTACAAGTGATGAGACTATCAGAAATAATGGACATGAACACACACATCAGATCGAGCAGTGATGATCAGACACGGGGTGACACGATGCACGAGCATGAATACTGTCAAAAACACTGCCGTTAATGTCGGGACGGGTCACAGACTTCTGCAGAAAGCCAGTTAAAGACTGGTCGGTTCATAAGAAAACCACTGAGACACTGGTTATACTACTGGATTAGAACATATCTAGCTAAATGACGGACATCTTTTGGAGAATCATCAGATCACAGGTCGAGTGTATCAGATGTTACACACCCAAAATCCACCATGGACAACTGGTTAAAAAGCTCAAACATCAGTGACATATTTTCAAATCAAAATGGGAAGAGTTTATGGGGTTTTACAGGACCACTTGGAAACCCGCTGGGCCTTTGTGAACACGGCTTTGACACACAATTACTCACATGCTCTTTTAACTACTTCCTTTTTTAGGTTATAGACATAATTCTCACATCTGCAACAGAACGAGGTCAAACACCGGGGGTTCAAAAAAGACCTGTCGGTTTTCCGGCACGTGAAGCATTGAGCCGCTGTCTGACATCTGTCACACTTCCAGAATTACCGTGTTGATGGGGTAAAAGTTATTTCTAACAGAAAACTGGTCAGATTCAAGAGTTCATTGGTTTCTTTCTCTGACTAATTTCCCTTTTCCGCCCTTCATCCTCCTCTTCCTCTGGCTCTATATCACATTCTCAAAGAGCTGCAATGATCGCATGATGTTTTCATCCTGAAGAGACAAAATATGAACAGAAGAAAGAGAAAGAAAGAACAATTTCATGAGAGACGGCTAAAGAAATACGAGGAAGAGACAGAGAGGAAGGAACACAAACACATTGCAAAAGGCAAAGGCAAAAGAAGAGAAAGTCTGTCTTTAGACTATCTAGTGAAACAAACAAACAGCCAATCAGAGGAGAAGCAGCGTCTGAGTGACATGTGAAACAGCCAATCAGACGAGAAGCAGCGTCTGAGTGACATGTGAAACAGCCAATCAGAGGTCAGTGGGGTTTTTTTTTAAGAAAGTGTGTCGCCATAAAACAACTGGTGGTGCTGTGATGTAACGAATGAAAAGTAGCAAAATAATACAAAAATATAAAACTAAGAATTCATTTTGGGAAGATAAAAACTGTAAATGTCTGGTGAAAACATCTCTAACATAAAAGCATCTTCACCACTTTGACAAAAACTTGAGTTAGTCAGGAGTGGCCTATTCAACTAAAGTATTGAAATAAAAGTTTTTTTCAAAACTGTAATAACCCTGCCACAAAAGATTTTATAAACTTAAATAGGGCTGGATGGTACGAATGGACTATTTATTTATAATTTTTATTTTATTAATACTTCTTATAATAAGTTATATTTATTTTATGCAAGTAATTTAATTAACTAATACAAAAAAATATTTAAAACAATAATAATAATAAAAGAAGGAAATAAAAATAAATAAGGGGATAATAAAAATATATAAAAATGTTAATTAAATAACTAAATATAAAAATAAATAATCAATCAATCCATAGATTTATTTGCATGACTATCAGTGGCCAGTGAAATTAAATAATTGACAAAGCAACATAAAAATAAATGATTCATGACTAAGCAACATGGAATAATGTCCCAAATAAGCAAAAGGAAGAGTCTGTTATTTGTTGTTACTCATGTAGAGGATTTTTAGTTTTTTGCTACTTTAATATAGAATTGAACCGCTGTCAGTACTCACTCGCTGACACTAGAGGACCCTGCTTACATTTAAGAGAGGAAGAAAGTGACAGCTATGATTGGAACGGATACTTGTGCACTGCTTCCTGCACACTATATTCTGTATTCTTTAAAAAAATATATAGTATGCAACTAAAGAAATGCTACACAGTTTCATAGTTATGTTTAATGCAGCGAGAGGCGTCCAATGATAATCTTAGAAATACATTTTTTAAAGACATTTAAAATGTCTTCACTTTCAATAGTCTGATCTAATAACGAGTGAAGAAAAAGATGTTAAAAGCAACAGTGCTTTGCATTGTGGGTCACAGTATTCAATGCACTGTGCTCTGCTTGTATACCGCACATTTTTTGCAGATGGACGAGTCATTCGGTTATTCTATGCATACTAATTTTGTATGCTATTGTGAACAGGTACCTCTTGACAGGAGAGGATAAACTCATCAAGAGTGACGACTCCATCTCTGTTCTTGTCCATTTTCTGCAAGAGAGAGAGAGAGAGAGAGAGAGAGAGAGTTTTTTTTTGTTTTAATAGCAAACTTTATTCAATCATTATATCAAAATAATAAATATTACACCAATTTCAAATCCACACAAGTTAAAAAAATAACTCCTCCTCCACAACCGTACAAAAAATAGAATCGTAACACCACTGTAATTTAAAAGTTTCTATATCATTCATTGCTTTATAGTACTTAAAGTCCACAACAATTCTTGACTTGATAAAAGCTTTAAATAAGGTTTTAATCTCCTGACCACCCCTATTTTCTATTCTGTTCTTCCTTGTTCTATTTATTATTGCAGTTATTAATGCAGTTATTAGTGAGAGAGAGAGAGAGAGAGAGAGAGAGAGAGAGAGAGAGAGAGAGAGAGAGAGAGAGAGAGAGATTAAAGGAGAACTCCGCCGCAAAATGAACCTTTGGTCTAATAAAACATTGGTACCTAGTCAACCGTTCTCTGAGATTTGTTTTCATGATAATCGAGTGTAAAGAGTTTTATCTCTAAAAACTGTTTAGCGTATAACGCTAGTAATGGGGGCATATAATAAGTAAAAAGAAATCGCTAGTTAATACCACTAACAAGACTCAAAATAGCCCCACACGAACACAGTAACATAATGAGTGTCCCTACATGCAAAACGAAGCATTGAGAACTGTGTAAGTGTACAGACCGTTTAATAAGAAGATATTTTATGAAGACAGTCCACTTCGTGTATACAGACAGGAGCCATCTTTGGAAAACAGTCTTGACTAATCAAACCACGAACGACGTGCTAAGTGAGCTGAACTGTATGAAGTTCAGTGAACTTCTGAACTGTATGAATGGCGTTCGTGGTTTGATTAGTCGAGTCTGTTTTCCAAAGATGGCTCCTGTCTGTATACACGAAGTGGACTGTCTTCATAAAATATCTTCTTATTAAACGGTCTGTACACTTACACAGTTCTCAATGCTTCATTTTGCATGTAGGGACACTCATTATGTTACTGTGTTCGTGTGGGGCTATTTTGAGCCTTGTTAGTGGTATAAACTAGCGATTTCTTTTTACTTATTATATGCCCCCATTACTAGCGTTATACGCTAAACAGTTTTTAGAGATAAAACTCTTTACATTCGATTATCATGAAAACAAATCTCAGATAACGGTTGACAAGGTACCAATGTTTTATTAGACCAAAGGTTCATTTTGCGCCGGAGTTCTCCTTTAAGCGTGTGTGAATTACCAGAGTCTGTTCATCTCTACTAATAGTGAAACTGTAAGTTGATCTGCTTCAAGAACAGCACTGTTATTTCCTCGCTAGAGAGAAAAGTCATGTAGCTTTTAAGATGCTAAACTATTCCACTGATAAAATCATCAGAGCAGCGCGTGTGTGTCCGTACTGTACAGGTGAAAAAGTTCATTTATTTCAGTAATTCAACTTAAAAGGTGAAATATTATATAGACTCATTACATGCAAAGTAGGGGTGTAACGGTTCACAAAATTCCCGGTTCGGTTCGATACGATACACTTGTGTCACGGTTCGGTTCGGTTCGGTACGTTTCCGATAGGGGCAAATAGAAAGAAATGCCAGAGAAATTTTAATGATATTTTTATTAAATCTAACATCGTAAAGTATGATATTTTTTAACTTTAAGCAATGATGGAGCTATACTTGACTTTTCTTAGGAGCTGATAAAACAAAACCGCTCCTTGGACAAAATGAAATGTATTATTGTAGTAGCTAGTTATAAACGAAGGTTTATTTTAGTTCAGATTAACATTTGAGGGCAGCAATTGTATTCATAATGTCAAAATAAAACCGACGTGATGTTACTTGAAAGCATTATAGCCGACTGTTCCTGCCACACTCCCATGGTTACAGTTAGTAGTGTTACTACAGTAAACCCATGGTGATGTTGCTGATCTGTGGACACTGGATAGCTCATTCATGGCTCAATGTTTCTTCCTGGTTTCCACGTCAGCGCTGTTTGATCCGTTAATAACGGAGACATGTGAATGTTTCTCACTAGATCTCACAGCGATGTTATTACTTCAGTGGCGAACTCAAATGCTTTCTTTACTGGACTCCGCTGTGTAGTAACAGTGCTGATGATGAAGATCGGCTCGCGCTGCATTGGTCCAAACTGATAAACGGTCCGTCAACCACACAATAACGAGTGGTTTCGTTCCGCTTACATTACATTTGCCATTTGATGTTGGGAAATGTTGTGGTCACGCCAGCGTTTATTACATTATGAGTGCGCTTGCCACACGTGACGCGCCTACATTTGAAATAACTAAATTTTGGCCGGCAGGAAAAATGGTCCAACGAACGGTTCAATACGAATACGTGTATCGTTACACCCCTAATGCAAAGTGAGATATTTCAAGCCTTTATTTGTTATAATTTTGATAATTATGGATTACAGATATGAAAACCTTTTCACAATATTCTAATTTTGAATTTGGGGTTTTCATAAGCTGTAATCCATAATCATCAACATTATAACAAATAAAGGCTTGGAATATCTCACTTTGCATGTAATGCGTCTATATAATATATTAGTTTCACCTTTTAAGTTGAATTACTGAAATAAATGAACTTTTGCACGATATTCTAATTTTTCGAGTTTCACCTGTGTGTGTGTGTGTGTGTGTGTTTGAGCGGTAGAGAGTATGTGCTTTCTGTACATAATAAAATGTAATTTTGTGGCAAAAAAACATTGAACTAATTTGTCGTTTTTATCCTATTGTTTACTATATTTATTTGATTGGTCAGTGTCGTTGTGGGTTTTGTATCCTTTGCTGTTGTCGGCTGTAAAGACCTTTGAAATAACTGAAGTCATTTGGCGGAGTGATATGAAACTGTAATGCGGTCAAGACTTGCTGGAACTACTTTAGCCGTGAGTTTCCCTGAAAATAACTGCACATCGTTCATCAACCAATCAGATTCAAGCATTCAGCAGTCCCACAGTATGTGATAATGTTTAAGGTGCACTATCAGGGTCTGACCTGGAAGAAAGCATCCACGTGCTGTTTGGTGGTGTCGGTCTTCAGAGCGGGATACGTGAAGCGGCCCATCATGTCATATATGGCTTTCACTATATCGGTCATCTCCTAGAAACAAAAAACAAATTCATTTATTATTCTAAAAACCTTCCGATGTGTTCTTTCAGTGTTTAAATAATTGTACTATTGTGCTAAAATGTGGAAAATAGTCGAATAGAATGAATAGATGTGTCCAAACTCTTGACTACAGTATTTTAGGTTACATAAGTTGCACTCTTGAGAGGAAAAAAAAACACAGATAAGTCCCATTTTATTATGACATTCAGAAGTGCACAAAATAATGTTTACATAAAACACTGATAACATGCATTTCAGTTTCTGTCACTCAACAACAAATCCTTTAAATTTAACCCTATAAAGCCTGATGGATCATATTTGACGTGCACATTTCTAAGGCCTCAACATGATCAAAACTGAAAAACCTGTCGCACACACACTCCTCCAGTCCTTCTGTCGTCTGAATGATAGTTTAAACAACTTTAGCAATTAAAAGTCTTTTAGTGTAATTGTACAAACGTCCTCCTCAGCTCGTGCTTCACGTGTCTTTCTGCTGTGAAATCTGCACTGATTTTTATTAAGTAAACATAAAAAATTACTTTCTATTGTTAGTGATATTTCAAGATGAGCACTTTCTGTAGGTTTACTTAATTATCCATACGTCATTTTTAGAAAAATCATGTTAAAATGTGAGCATTAAATATGATCATCAGGTTTATTTGTTCATCTCTCAATCATCATTGTATTGCATTATATGTTTTAAAACTACAGAGCATTGATCATTTGAATATCATCTTACTAAAGACATATTATTGTCAGATATAGAGCGGCGACTGATATTCATATGCATTTTATGTATCTAGTCTTCTATACTGTCATAAAGATCTCATTGATTTACATTACAAGCATCAGAATTTCATCTTACTTTTTGTCCATATAAATATCAGCATAAACAAATATCGACATCAAACTTAAATGAATTTAAATCAAAACTGAAACTACCAGCGTGTGGGAAATCAACTGTTTTGCGTGACGGACTTGCTTTATATACTGTTACTTTGGAATATAAGTCACAAAACATTACAGATGATTTAAAAAAAAAAACATGACTTATACTATTCCAGAAAATACGGTAGAAGTGTATGATCAAACACACCTCTTTATTAATGTAACCATCTTTGTTAATGTCGTACAGGTTGAAGGTCCACTGTAACTTCTCTGTTGTTGTTCCTCTCAACAAGATGGACAGAGCCGTTACAAAGTCCTGACGAAGAGAAAGAAACAATGGGCCGATAGGAGGGATTTCTCATTAACGACACAAACGAAAACGCCGTGCTGACACAGAAATGAAAATAACAAATAGAAGAAACGAAGTTGGTGAAGAACATGAATGAATAGAGGGAAATTTCACCTCAAATTTGATTGATCCGCTTTGGGAAGAGTCAAAGGCGTTGAACAGGTAATGTGCGTATGTGCTGGCGTCTGCAGAGAGAATACACACACACACACACACACACACACACACACACAGAGAGAGAGAGAGAGAGAGAGAGAGAGAGAGAGAGAGAGAGAGAGAGAGAGAGAGAGAGAGAGAGAGAGAGAGAGAGAGAGAGAGAGAGAGAGAGAGAGAGAGAGAGAGAGAGAGAGAGAGAGAATCAGCAGGGTTTTTAAAACAAATGTAAGACTTTTCTGAGACCTTTATGGGGTCTACCGCATTTTGATAGAGCAATATCTATATATTAATATATTAACAGTAAAATGACTGATTTAAACAACATTACAGTTCAAAAAAACTAAGTTTTATATAATAATACTGTAAACCTCACATTTCAGCCTTTAAACCGTCCCCAAATTTAAGGCCTTTAGAAATTATAATGAACTTATTGTATATTATTTAAGACTTTTTGGCCACGTTTACACCTGGTATTAATAAGATGCCTTTTGGTTGATCGGGTCACAAGTGGACGACACTAAATACAGACGTAAACGGGGTCTAAAACGTTTTGAGCTTGTCCACTTTCGTCCACTTCCAGAGGGAGTTGAAAACACATTCGACCGGATTGTTTTCGCAGTGTAAACGCTCATGTGGTCGAATGTGTTCAAACAGCCACTAAAGACCGTCTGTTCTCCACATACTAATGCTTAAACATTATGGGAAACGCTCTAGCCAGACGGGATTTACACTTTGTCGACTGGAGACCAAAGTTTGGTTAGAAGATGGAAAACATCCCAAGCACAATGTTCTCTCATCATCCCTGATGTCTAACACACACTCACAGCGTTCGGCTGGTGTTGAGGCTGTCAGAGCAGAAGCTAAAGCTGATGTTCTCTGTGTGTTTCTCTGTGTCTCCGGTCGTGTTCATGTGTAAATTGCGTGAGCTTATTTCATCCATTAGATGGACAGATCTGAAAAAGCCCATAGATTTACCCGCCCATAGACACTCCCCTCGAAGTGGTTGAAAGTGGACAGAAGAGACGGATTAAAACACCAGGTGTAAACGGGAATGTGACCCTCGTCTACTTGTGATCCGATCGACCAAAACGCATCTTAATACCAGGTGTAAACAAGGCTTTTAAGACCTAAAATTGACATTTTTATGAACCCTGAACACACATTAACACATGAGTATGTTTTTTATAGTAAGCTAAGGAAATGTATCTCTACCAGGGTTATCATCGTTAACTAAAACGCTAATGCAACAAGGTTCCATTTGTTAACATTAGGTCATTTACATTAGTTAAACTAATATAGAAGTACAAATAGTAGGGAAGCATGCGATTTCAGATGCAGCAACTCTTTATGAAAGAGTCATTGAATCATTCCTTAGACAACGATTCATTCAAAAACGTGGATTCATTGAGTAACAAAACATCAGAGACGTGCAATGATTATGGTGGATTCGTTTGGAACAATTTTCATTGTTAATATTCTGCATCTAAAATGGAAGTCACGTAATATTAACTTCTTGTTTGTTGAACTATTGTATAAAATCGATATGCAATCGTGCTGATATTCGGGAAAACCGCACTCTTGCTCGTGTGGTATTGCTTAACTAGATATAATCCTTTCTAAATGCTAAAAACCAGACCTCACACAGAGAAATTTTTTGCCCCGTATATTACATTTAGGGGGATTTTATAATTATTTTGGTGGCATTTTTGCCCCCGTTCATTCCTGGCCCGTCTCAAGTGAAACGGATGAAAGAAATGGAGAGATGAACTGCAAACACACACTGACCCCCGTGAGGAAAGAACTGCGAGTAGATCTGTTTGAACGTCTCCTCGTTGACCACGCCACTGGGACATTCCTGAGAAACAAAGGGGAAAATGTGTGTAAATTTGATTGTCACAGCAGTCCATCAGGAAAACACATCTACGTGTGAGTGTGTGTGTGTGTGTGTGAGCTTGCATACGTTTTTAAAGCCTCTGTACAGCACTTGCAGCTCTTTCCTGTTGAAGTTTGATTGAGCCTCCAGCAGGTCCAAAGCCTCTGGACGATGACACACCACAGACAGCTCCAGATCATCACACACCCTATCTACACACACACACAGATTAAAACATGGACAATAAAACATGTGCAATCCATTATATTTCCTTGGCATATGATGCATTTAACAGTGAAACAGCATATACAAATAAAATAAAGTAAATTAAATCAATTACATGGTTAAACATTTAAAAAAAATATATATATATACTCTTTTACATAAAATCATGTTAATAATACATGCAATATACAGTGTAAATACCTCAGAAAAATAATATGTAAAATAACAGTACCATGTAATTTAGTTACCTATTAAAAAATATATTTTTACAGATCCATGAAATATACAAATAAACATACAAAAATAGACAAACATCCAATACTTCATCTATTTTACCTCTGCATCTTACTGTTTAGTATTTTGATTGACATATATTACCGATCATAAGTTTGGGGTCAGTAAGATCTTCTTTTTTTTTTAAAGTATTTAATACTTGCATTGAGCAAGTATGCATTAAATTGATCAAAATATACAGTAAAGACATTAATAATGTTACAAAAGATTTATATTATATAAACAGATTTATAAAGATTTATAAACAGCACAACTGTTTTCAACATTGATAATAATTATAAATTTTTTTGAGCAGCAAATCATCATATTATTATGATTTCTGAAGGATCATGTGACACTGAAGACTGAAGTAATGATGCTGAAAATTCAGCTTTGATCACAGGAATAAATTACACTTTAATATATATTCACATAGAAAACAGTGATTTTAAATTGTAATAATATATTAATATACAACTGTTTTTACATAAATTTTTGATCAAATATGCAGCCTTGGTGAGCAGAAGAGACTTATTTGATCAACATTAGAACATCTTCGCGACACCGCCCTCTCGAATGCTAGTGTAATGCTAATGCTACAGCGAAATAACACACAGCGAGAGATCTCTGAATCATGTGGTTTCAGAAGCAGAGGAACTCCCATGTGTGTTAAAGATGACGACACCGCAGCAAAACACACGTTTGACATTCACAGCATTCGAAAAGATCACTTCCTTTACATTTATTCATTCATTTAGCAGAGGCAATGACATCATCAATGGGAGACATCACAAGCAATTTGGCCTTTCAAAATGTCTTTCAGTATGTTTACCTATGTATTTTTATTTTATTTAAAAACAAAAAACATTTTTGTTACTTGAAATAAAACGATAACAGAAGTTAAATCATATATATATATATATATATATATATATATATATATATTAACGTATTTCAGCTAGTTGCCAAGCCAACATTACATTTCTCATATTAATTTAGCTAAACTTGATGTAATAAAATAGTAACAAGAATAAAAAGAGTCACAACAATCAAAGCTCAACTGAACTAAAGTGAGAAAAACAAACAGACATACAGTTTGAAATATGAATATGATCTTTCTGGCATGTTGATCATCATACATAAGGACGGACACAGGATGTGTGTGTGTGTGTGTGTGTGTCCTGGTCCCCTCAAAGATGGCAATATCCGAAATCCTTGTCCTTGTGGGGAAATATTTTGGTCCCCATAAGGAAACGTTTATTAATCATAGAGAATGAGTTTTTTTGAAAATGTAAAAATGCAGAAAGTTGTGTGTGATGAGTAGGTTTAGGAGTAGGGTTAGTGTGTGTGTGTGTGTGTGTGTGTGTGTGTGATGAGTAGGTTTAGGGGTAGGGTTAGTGTGTGTGTGTGTGTGTGTGTGTGTGTGTGTGATGAGTAGGTTTAGGGGTAGGGTTAGTGTGTGTGTGATGGGTAGGTTTAGGGGTAGGGTTAGTGTGTGTGTGTGTGTGTGTGTGTGTGTGTGATGAGTAGGTTTAGGGGTAGGGTTAGTGTGTGTGTGTGTGTGTGTAAGGGGAGAGAATATACAGTGTTTATACAGTATAAACACCATTGTGTCTATGGAAAGTCCCATAAAACATGAAACACAACGTGTGTGTGTGTGTGTGTGTTAAAGCACTGAAGGACACACACAGGTGAGGTCAAAGGTCATGTGCCTGAGGCTCTCACTGCTGTTCAATGTCATTTAGCAGTGTCATATTACAGTACTGCACTCTCTCTAACACACACACACACACACACACAAATACACAATTCTGCAAGAACACACACAGCTTAAAAAAAGTATTTGTCATTCTAAATAAGGTTATTGGAGTACATCTCTCTACTTCAAAATTCATGTTTATTTCAATGCGTTACTTGCCATTTCTTTGTAATTATTTGTGAAATTGACTGACAAATTCTGAGTGAAAATTGTTTCTACACCAATTTTGTTTCAGTGATTAAGCACTGAAATTAATTTCCAAAAACTATATAGAATTTTTTTAATTTACATAATCTGTAAATAAAACAAATCCTGCAACATTTTTTTTTTTTTCAGTGCAAGTCTAAAGCATTTTCCCGGTTTGCTATAAACATGATTATGATGAACGTTTCTCTCTTTTGAAATTCCTTTTTTCCACAGAAGAATTACAGTGTGAATAATGCGACTTTCTGGCAGAGGTTAAAAATCTGATTCAGCAAATATCAAACGTGGCACACATTCATTATCAGACGTCTGTTTGAATCACATTAAGCCCGAAGACACATCTGATAAAACTGTCGATCTCCCTGGATGTCATGAGTGAGATGTGTGTGAGACTCACCCTCAGTGCTGATGAGTCCGAGTGTGTGCAGGAGTTTCAGAGCTCCACACAGCAGCAGAACTATAGCTAAAGTTTGCAGTCCCTCTCCCTCTCCTTCCTCCATCACTCCTGATTCCCTGCGCTATTGCCTTAATATTCCTGTTTTACTCTCGCTTTCATTACAGTCTCTTTCTGTACTCGCTGAGTGCGCAGCATCCACCTTTATATTCACCTCTCTCTCTCTCTCTCTCTCTCTCTCTCTCTCTCTCTCTCTCTCTCTCTCTCTCTCTCTCTCTCTCTCCTCTTTGACATCTAATTCTTTGTTTCCCAGTTTGTACTCTTTCTTTCTCTCTCTCTCTCTCTCTCTGTGTGTGTGTGTGTGTGTGTGTGTGTTAGAAATACTCACTATGCCATCTATCAAATGTTCATTGTGCTGGAACATCAGAGTTGAGCAAAATACAGAACTTACCCCTTTCAAATCATGATTATGAATATGAATTGAACATCAAACAAGATGTTAATGGACTTTACATACTTACAATTCAAAGAAAGCACACAAAAGTAGTACAACACAGATAACTACACATTCATTTTGACTGTTTATGCCATTCCCTGACATTTTGAGTAAGACTGCATGTCTAAAACATTCTGAACTCAATATCAAAACAATTTGCACATAAATA